TGTGGTCAGAGTATGTTTTTGGAAAAACTTAAGCAGATAATTTCCTTTATGTATGGAAAAATGTTTATGATATATTAAATAGAAAGGCAGATTACAAAATACATCAGTACTCCATTTTTATAAAAACTATCTTTAAGTGTAGAAGAAAAGTGAGTTAGGTTTGTGTACATTGAAATATTACTAATCTTTAGGTAATGAGTTAACAAGTGACTTGTGCAAGGGGTTAAGACGCAACCTATGAAGCTGTCTGCAGCCGCTGCAGCATGAGTTCGATCCCTGGCCAGGGAGCAACCCACATGGTGTAGCAGACCTCTCCTGTCTCTCCTGCTGCTCCCCTCAGCAGTGTATTTCTGCCTGTTCTGTTACCCTCTGTCTCTGGTGAATCCTCTCAACCTCCAACACCTCTGGCCTGTATCCCAGTTCTTGTATGCATAAATAAATAAATCTTAAAAAAAAAACAAAACAAAAAAACCCCAAGTAACTTCCCTTTTTTTGACTTTTTATGTTCTTCACATTTTAAATATAGAACAATCACATCACCTTACATGACCAGAAAGCAATTATTTATCTTAAAAAATGCTGGCATTTCTAGGAAGTAGAGAAATTAAATCATTCTACTTTTAGTGGCTTTATAATTTTTAACTATGTGATTCTCATTTTAAGCAGTTTTTAAAAAAGTAATACTTAAATGGCCCCATGTTAGAAATGTGGTAGAATGTTACATTGTATTTACTTTTCAAATCCACTCTTTTAATTGACAGTATTGTTTTAACTTTCTAAAGGTTTGGGGGAAATACAGTAATAGAGCAGTAATAAAATTGAATAATGATTTTTTGAATTCCCATGGTAAAATCATACCGTAGAATAAAAGTAGTAAGAGGGTGAAAATCACCATCACTCTAGGTGGAATCTAGAGGTTTGTCAACTTTTTTGTAACACATGTTTATTCTAGACTAAAGCTATGAACCTTCTCCACACAGATATACTTAACTCTTTGCCTGTAATTTTTGGGCTTAAAAAGAAGGGCTGAGTTTTTCCTCAAATGACACGTACCGTAAAGAATAAGATTTAGGTACAGTTGCTCCACTTCTGAATCTCGTCAGACACTGTGCCATCTCATCAAAGCAACAGTTAAGAATGACTTTGTGTTTTTGTGGAGTTAGGTTCACATTTGTGCATTTGATCCAGTAGACAACAGCTAACAGCTTGTGTACATGGCATCAGACTTGTCTCTTTTTCCTTTTTTTTTTTTTAATCTGCCCCAATACCTTACCAGCTGACTTTAAAAAAAGCCCCCATTTCTCTCCCTCCCCCCACAAGTATTCTAAAGTTGAGGAAATATTGGAGAAGAATGACATTTGCAATACATAAACTTTTAAGTTCTGGGACACAGCTGTTCTGAGAGAGAGAGAGAGAGAGAGAGAGAGAGAGAGAATGTATGTGTGTGTGTGTGTGTGTGTGTGTGTGTGTGTGTATGTATGTGTGTTAGGGGTGGAATTGGGGCCGGGGGGCCACATGAGCTGTTTATGGACAGTGTCATTGTGCAGGTCCAGGCATCAAAACACTTTTCTAGAAGGTTTGCTTCACTGCTTAGACAGACTTGATATTGATATCTGTGACATATCTTTTAACTGGAGACAGTGTAGAACCCAACCAAACTGACTTATGCAGATAAGGGAGGATTAGAAATCAATAGGTGATCCTGACATTGGCACAGCTCTGTGTAGGGCCTGATTAGGACCGGATTAGGACCTGATTAGGCCTGATTAGGACCCAGTGTCTTGCCCTCTCTCTCTGTTCTGCTGCCTGAGGCCTCTGCTTCATCATTCAAGTATATGCTTAAAGTTAGCATGCCTGCTGGGGCCCTCTGCTTCCTTATTCAGTTAGAACAAAAAAAATGTCTTTGTCTCAGAAATTCTAGCAAAAGTTCTTGGAATCATTTGATCAATGACTTTGGTCACATGCCCTTCCGTGAAACAATCACTGATGAAGGGTCTCAGCTTGGGCCATTCATGTTTCTTATCCCTAAAGCTGGGCATTGCCAGCCTTCCCTGAACCAAAGTTATCCCCCAATGATGAATGGTTCTGAGGAGACAGCGGACAACCAACTGATGTCTGTTACTAAGGATAACACGTAATCTTTCATGCATTGTAAAGTCAAATAGTGATTCTGGGGTAGATCTGCCTGGACTCTTATTTTTATTTTTACTTTTTAAAACTAGAACATTATTATGAGACTAATTCTTGAAATCCTTAAGATGAACTGGGTGTTGCAACAGCTCCCCTCTTGGGTTTGTTTAAGTGTTACTTTATGGAGTCTGTGCGTGAATCTACAGTTTACAATTTTTAGGTGCCTTGTCCAACCAGTCCTGGTGGTATTTCGTCTGTTAGCCTTGGCATGCCAGTTCTGTTTCTCTCCCACTTGACAGGGAGCCACATTTATCCAAGGACTGCTTTTGAAGGTGGGAGGCTTAGGGGTTCAGCAATGGTACAAAGTGTGTGTCTTACTGCAACACTTTCTACCTGATGACATTTCCTTGAGATGTCAAGGCCCCAGACCCTAGTACGTGGCCTTTTATTTTCCAGCTCTAGCACTTACCAGTTGTCTATAATTCTGGAGAAACCATTTTACTTCTTTAAGCTTCATTTTTACTGAGTATAAAGTTAGAATAATAATTATCTCATGTTAGTGTTTTGAAGGTTAAATAAGAGAGCATTTAAAGAATTTGTCACCTGCAATGTAGTAAAAGAAGACATTGACTTTAAATTGACATTCCTCTGATGATTTATATTGATCCTCAATGAATTGTAGTTCATTTTCAAGCATATAATGCTTGAAAACCATGTATGGGGGAAAAGTACACCTGGAGATTTTGTCTGAAAATGTGGGTGAAAATCATAGACCTCAAGTAAAGCTGTTAACCATAACTACTGTTGCTTTGTAGGAATGTGTTAGTCTCAAAGAAAACTTAAAATTTTAGTTTATGTTTCCCTCTAAATGAGGCAAGCATGCCTCAAAAATCACTGATTCCAGGTCTCATGCAGAAAATGGACTAGGTGTGCCAAAAAGTCTTACTCATTCCAGAACTATTAGCACCCTCTAGGGCTCTAAAGCACCATGAAGAGGTTCCAATTGGCCAAAAATTGAAACAATTTGAATTAAAAAAAAAAAAAGTATTTGCGGTGGACTGACGCATAACAAGCATGTTAAAAATCCATGTGATACCAAAACAAACAAATTTAACTGGTCATCTTTTGAGGAAAGTGAAAGAATTAAGGATTTACTTTGCCTTTCTTGTGTGAGTATCTTTGAGTACCCGAATAGCTGTAAGGGAAAGATACTTTTAGAAGAATCCCAGTTAATGAAAAAAATTGGTGTTTTGTGAAGTCTTTCTTATACAAGTGCAACCTTAATGCATTTCTGTGGGTTCTATTTCATTTTTATCAAATATGTGAAATAACTGGGCACGTAAAGATATTTTTCCAAATCTATTGTCATCTTGCCCACATATAATTTTTTTTTTTTTGGCATCTCGCCTAAAGCAGTTAACCTAGTTCTTACAGCAATAATCACTCCTTATTTCCTGGTTATTTCATCAGCTCATGTGCTTTTAAATTAAATTACATAATTAGAGTAACAGATAAATTGCCACAAAAGGGTTTGGGAGCATACATGACAGCTTCTTGGTGATGTCCCATTTAACCATGGGAGCAGCTTTGCACTACAAGCTGGAGTGTCCTATGCCCTAAGTGACCTCCAAAAGGCAGGGGGTCAGCATGCTTCAGGGGCGGGGGCCTGAATCTAGCTCACTGCAGTTTCATCACTCGTGTCTACGGTATGAACTGCCTGTCTCTTACCACTCAACCCCACTCAGCCCCAAGAGGGGTGCAAATCCACATTGGGAATTGAAGTGATTGGTTTAGGCTCTGTCTAGTAATTAGATGTGTTTAGATGGGTCAGCATTCCAAAAGCAGGCCAGATTAAAATCATTCACTATCTAGAATATTCAAAAACATGGAACTTGTTGCTTTTTCCACTGTGAGTGAACAGGACTGTCCTACCTATTTTTGCATATAAACTGGTTGATTTATGTCCCCTGAATTACAGGGTCATAGAGGAACATGGCTTCTGTTTCCTTAATCATAAGAACTGCCTTTCTGGAGGTTGGTCCAAGACAGAACTTAAATTTTAACTTTTGCTTTGGCGCCACCAGGTGGTTTGTTTGAATATATTATTCTCAAGGAAAAGATAGCTTAACAAACAATGATCAATAAAAATATGGTGTGAGCAGGCAGAGCGCAGAAGATTTTTAGGGCAGTGAAACTACTCTGTATGATACATGTCATTCTTTGTTTGTCCAAGCACATAGAATATGCAATACCGTGAGAGAGCCCTAATGTAAACTGTGGACTTCAAGTAATAATGATGTGTCAATGTAGGTTTGTTGATTGCACCAGTCAGCTAGGTGACTCTTGGTGCATTAGAGAAAAAGTCTCTATCTGTCTCTCACACAACACACACACACACGCATGCACACACACACATGCACACATGCACACACACACACACACCCAAGCATAAGGGAAGGAGGAAGATGCTGTTCTCTTGCTGCTTTCCCTCTGCTCTTCTATTCAAACCTGACATCTACCTTCTTTTTCCTGACCTTGATAATGTCCAGGGAACTTCTACCTCTGCTTTCCGGCCACTTAAGCCTTTTCACTTTTATAATAAAACCTATTTTGAATTTCTTATTACGTCTAATTTTTCCATCTGTACATCACTCTTCCTATTTTCTTTTTGTAGTCAGTCCTCTTCTAGAGACTTCCATGTGAGAGTAACAGACAGCAGGTGAATTCATTTTGTTTTGAGAAATTGTCTAAGCGGCATATTTGATCCAATCTCTACAATAATTGTTATGGAAACTACATTAGCTTTTACAGCAATGTCTTGGATTCTTTCTGAATATAAGTCTCTTTCCCCATTCATTGATTGACTACAGAAATAGAGCCAAGATCAAACGCTGGAAAGTCCTCAGCAGGAAAATTGCGTACTGGAAGGGAAACACTTCGCCTGAGATCAAAAGGTGCTGCCACCGTGGAACAAGTGGTAAGTCATGTTTATTTAATCTCCATTATATTTGGAAATGCATGGGCATTCATGCTTATTGGAGTTGGAAATAAAGACAAAATCACAAGTTAAAGAAATGCCATACATTCTAATGAAAGCATAGACTTTTTATTCATGCCTACTTGTACAATCTGTAAATTATTGAACTACGAGAAAACATAGAAACTAAGTACATGAGAAGAGACTGTGATGTATCGTGATCCTTGTCTTCCTGCAGAGAGTCTTTTCTAGAGTTTGCAGACATGGAGAATGACTCAGCAAATGTAAAAGAAATCAACCACAGCTCTCCCAGAGCCAAGGAGAGCCTCAGAGCCACCTGTAGGAGTGAACATATTTAAGATTTTGATGACGATGGATTATATTCATGAGCTCCAGTCTCCTCAGGCAAAACATTCTGTAGTCCTCTGACTCCTCACTTTCCTGTCCCACATCCTTTTTTTTTTTTAAAGCAATCTTTTTATTTATTTATTTATTTATTTGTTTGTTTGTTTGTTTGTTTATTTATTTATACAAGCAGTGGGTACAGTCAGAAGCATGGGAGGGCAAAAGAATTCACCAGAGCCAGAGCGGGGAGCAGAACAGGCAGAAGGACTGAAGCACACTGCGGAGGGGAGCAGCAGGCAGCAGGAGAGGTCTGTGTGCCATGTGGGACTCTCCTGGCACTGCAGAGACTGCAGGCAGCTTCGCAGCCCAGCACTCAACCGCTGTGCCTCCAGGGGAGGCCCTGTCCCACATCCTTTTGTCAGCCAGTTCTGGTGGGATATACAACATCCCAGAATCCAACAACCTCTCACTGTCTCTACTCCTGCCCCTTTGGCCCTAGACATCACCATCTTGTCCTGAATCTCCCAGTCACCCGCCAGTCAGTCTTCCACATTCACCTTTGTCCTCTTTGTACCTGTGCTCAACATAGTACCCATCTTTAATGGCACAAGTGATAATTGTTCCTGTTCGGTGTCAGTGGCTTCTCAGGTCTGGCAGAATAGTGTGACCAGCAGGACCTGACTCTGTGTTTCTTCTCTGATCTCATCTCCCTCCACTCTCCCCTGGATCCTTTTGCTTCAGCCATACAAGCTGCCTTGCTGTCCCCACACACTCCAGATGTAGCCCACCTCAGGGTCTCTGTACTGCCATTATTGCTGCCTGACACTTGCCCACTGGCACACTCCCTTGCCACTTTCAGCTTTCCGCCTACGTATCACCTTTCTGTAAAGCCCTTTTCTGAGTATCTTGTATAAATAGCCGTTACCATTACCACTCTGACTGACCAGTCTTCTTGTCCTTAATTTTCTTCAAAGTACCAGACATAATAGTATTTACTCTTTCTTTGTTTCCCTTTGATGTCTGTTGTCTGGCTCCTTTACTCACCTGTCTTTTTTGACACTGCACCCCCAATACCTAGAATACTACCTGTCACATCAGAAGAACTCAAATCTTTGCTGAGTTAATGAATTAATAAATGAGATTTTAAATGTGAGAAGAGGAAGGGATTTGTAGATTGCATCAGGGTTTGAATGAAAAACACTAGAAGGACATGAGACAAGTGGAAGGGAGAAGGGTGGTAGAACACAATAGGAGGGTTAGGAACGGCTGTGGCTCTCAAGTGGCAAGTAGCAGGGGCCTCCCCAGTGGTGCAAGGGTTAAACACTGCACTATGAAGCAATTGCAGCCTCTGTAGCACGAGTTCAATCCCCGGCCGGCCAGGGAGCAACCCACATGGCACAGCAGACCTCTCTTGTCTCGCCCACTGCTCCCCTCAGTGGTGTATTTGGGTCAATTTGCCTGTTCTGTTCCCCACTCTGTCTCTGGTGAATCCTCTCACCCCCCCACATCTCTGGCCTTAACCCAACTCTTAAATAAAAAAAATATTAAAAAAAAAAGAGGCAAGTTTGCTTACAATAGTAGGTGGTGGTAAGGGCCTCTGGAAGGGGAGGTGGTTCTATAGGCAGAGGGGAGGTCAGGTGGGCTTCTGAGACTCAGGACCTCCTGCAGACAGGGGCAGAGACAGCACACTGTCTAGTTCCTCTGTGTGTGTTGTCCTAGGCATCCGCAGGTGTCTCACAAGAAGAGTGAGATAGGGGAGCAGTTAGGAGACTGTTCACAGAACAGGATCCCAGAATAGGTAGGGTGACTATATACAAACTCAGTTACTGAGATGAATTCTCTAGAAGCAGATGTTGAAGGAACCACGAGACCAAGATTGTTAGTCACCCAGGATGTCATCTGTTTTGGGGAATCCTGAAGCAGGTGCTGAGCTGTATGCCGTCCGGTCTTGAGCAAGCCATCTGGAGGCAGATGACAGTGAAGAGACCTGGGCAAGCCAAAAGCATTTTAAAAATGAGATGTGTGCCTCTCTGGTGGCACAGGGGTTAAGTCTCTGCACTGTGAAGCTGTCACCAGCCACTGTGACCTGAGTTTGATCCCCCGCCAGGGAGCTAACCCACATGGCACAGCAGACCTCTTCTGTTTCTCCCACTACTCCCCTCAGCAGTGTATTTCAGTAGATCTGCCTGTTCTGTTCCCCGCTGTCTCTGGTGAATTCTCTCACTGCTCCCCCTCCACCTGTGACCTACACCCCAGCTCTTGTGTACATAAATAAATAAATTTTCAAAAAAAAAATGAGATGTGATAGGGTATGTGAAAAAACCCTGGTCGGTGACTTCTGAGTATTCCACGTCTACTTTTCCCATGCCCAGCACATGGCCTTGACTATTGCTACATGCTAGTAAATGTTTGTTAAGAGGATAAAGAAAGGGATGAGAATAGTAGCAAGGAGCTGGCTCTGGGAATCTTGAGGATGGCAGCTGTGAGAAAGTAAGGACAGAACTTAAAACTGTTTTGCAAAGAAAGCAGGGTTGGCAGGAAAAATTCCGTACACTGCTTCAGGAGGATGGTTATCTTCTTAATAGTTAACATGGTTAATAAATCTTGATTGCGCTCCTGTTAATGTGTAAGGTCTGGAATGAGAGTAGCTGAAGATCTGTCTGGGGAGGTAAGAAAGATTCATTCAAAGACGTACATCTAGACACCATTCCTATTTACTTAGTCTACTTTATTAAATAGAGCAGTTAAAAATAGCTCATAATGAAAGGGAAACCTAGTTTGGTGCTAATATTAAATTTGATACAAATGACTTACAATCTAATTTCAAACATTACAGGATTTATAGATTTGAAGCAGATCACCTGCTCATAGCCTAGCACAATTCTGAAAACTGGAAGCTACTCTACCTTATAATTTACTCAGAATATATTGATGATAGAAAGCTGTATCCAGGTGCTAGTGATACAAAAATACATAAAGACTATTTTTCCTCTAAAGGAAGAGAGTCATGAATAGAAGCTATTCATGGGGATAGAGGCTGAACATCTTTCTCTATCAGAGATAAGGAAAGCAGGAAGAAATGATTGAGCTGGTCAAAGATGGGGAGAAAATGTCCCAGGCATGAGATGATGATGGGCTTGCGGACCTTGTAAATATCCTTGAGATTGGAGTGTGGGATGCTGGAGATAGCTGGTGGGGACCTATGAGGTTGGATGTGCTGGACTGGGTCAGGATGTGAAGGGCCTGTGGCTCATGGGGGACTCTTTTTTTGCAACAGAATGCTATTTTTAATAAATTTGGAGATTACAAAGCAACATGCATTTATAACCATAGTGAAGGTATTATGAATTTCTTATAGTCTTGAATTCCACATTTATGACTGGTTGACTATTTAACATCTTTGGGCCATTTTTTTTTCCAGTTGTGAAGTAATTTAAAACCAAATATTGTGGGCCTCCCTGGTGGTGCAGACGGTTGAGCGCAGCCTATGAAGCTGTTCGCAGCCTCTGCAGTGCCGCAGAGCAACCCACATGGTGCAGCAGACCTCTTCTGTCTTGCCCGCTGCTCTCCTCAGCAGTGTGTTTCAGTCAGTCTGCCTGTTCTGTTCCCCACTCTGTCTCTGGTGAATCTTCTCACCTTCCTGTGCATCTGGTCTGTACCCCGGTTCTTGTATAAATAAGTAAATCTTAAAAAAAAAACCCCAAAAAAACCAAAACCAAAGAACCCCCCAAGTATTGAATAAACTGAACATAGAACCAACTTTACAAATAGTAAGCAAAGATTTAAAAGAATGCTAAAAATATATCCAATCATGTTTCTTGCTGAAATTCTTTTTTCTTTTTATTTATTTATACATGCACTGGGGTACAGTCAGAGGTGCAGGAGGTTGAGAGAATTCACCAGAGCCAGAGTGGGAAGCAGAGCAGGCAGAAGGACCGAAGTACACTGCTGAGGGAAGCAGCGGGCGGCAGGAGAGGTCTGCGCGCCATGTGGGACCCTCCTCCGGTGGCCGGGGAGCAGCCTGGGATTGAACCAGTGCTGCAGAGGCTGCGGGCAGCTTCTCAACCCAGCACTCAATCGCTGCGCCACTGGGGAGGCCCTCTTGCTGAAATTCTTAATACTAGTTTCAGAAAGAAGAAACATGTTATGGTACCATTAATACATAGGACAAAGATCATTTAAAAGCTATTTCATTATGAAATCATCCTTGTACAATTTCTATTTTTTTTAAAGATTTATTTATTTATGCATACGAGAACTGGGGTACAGGCCAGAGGTGTAAGGAGTGAGAGGATTCACCAGAGACAGAGTGGGGAGCAGAACAGTCAGACTGACTGAAATACACTGCTGAGGGGAGCAGTGTGTGAGACAGGAGAGGTCTGCCATGGCGTATGGGTATCTCCCTGGCCAGCTGGGCTCAAACCTACGCTGCAGAGTCTGCGGACAGCTTCACAATTCTGCGCTCAGTCCCCTGTGCCACCAGGGAGGCCCTAAAATTTCTATTTTATGGGTATTTTATAATGTAGGCAGTATATCAATATAGTACTACATGTGTGTCATTTATTAAAAATAAAACAATAAAATTAAATAAAAAATGAAAAGGGTATGTGTTTAGAAGTGTTTTACTATTGGTTTGCACCATTAAAACATTTGGAGACACTGGCCTGAAGTCTAAGGACCAAAGTTCTTTTTATGGTACACAGGAGCCCTGAAGATTTAATTGTGTCTGGCACTGTGTCCTCCAGTCACAGGAAACAGCCGAGAGCATGTTACAATCTTTTATCTGACTCTGTAACCTCTCTTTGTGCATTTATTGCCTTCTACTTAGTGCTCTCTCCTTACTTCATACCAGTAGCCTTTGCAAACACAGTTGTTAGGTCATCTTCTTTCTGAAATCTTAGGGATTAAAATTTACTTCCACCCCTCCCTTTCCATGCTTCTGTGCCTTTTATTTCCTTTTAGAATTGCCCTTGGAGACTGTGTTCCTGGCTTTTTTTCTTTGGATCCATAGCACTTAACATTGACACTAAAAATAAATATTTACTGTATTGATTTGTATAGAGTTACAGAGCATATTCTAGATGTATTTCCATTCAAATTTACTGAAGTATGCAACCATGGAAATATGGCTCCATATCAGATTTTCCCCTACTGTGTGCCTTGACATTCAAGAGGTTTCATATTAGAATTTTCTTAGGCTTAAACTTATCTCTCTTTTCTTTGATAAAGCCCTGTGAAGCCACAAGAAAGGCGATTGAAAAGATTGATGATCTTCTTGAATCATACATGGGAATTCGAGATACTGACTTAGGTAAGGTTATTCAATTTTCAAAAAAGCCCTACATTTTTAATTTGATAGAACTTAGTTCTTATTTATGTCTTGCTTGCAGTTTACTTTTCAAGATAAAAATTTATGGAGTGATGAAAAGCATGATGAAAATAAAAATAATAAAGAAGAAAAGAAGATGTGGTTCTTACCACCTACTAGCTTTGAGGTCAAAGGGCCATGTTAACTTTTCTAATTTTTATATAAACTGAGTAATGATATCTCCTTCATAGATTTTTTTATGGATTAAAAAATGAAAAGAATTTAGTAAATGTCACATTTGAAAGATATTATCTGATACCAGATCTACATTGATTGAATTGTGTATTTATGTATTGAAGATGTGCCCTATTTAATGAAGTTATTAAAACCCTGTGAGCAATGACTCAGAACATTGAAGAAAAGGGCACACTTGGTGTCTCACTGATAAGAAAGGCAGTTGAACAGCTGCATTTCTGTGTATTTTTATGTCATTAGGCTGTTAAGGTCTTGATTTGTCAATTGAGCTTTTATCAATTAAGACTTTATCAGTGGCAAATGACATCAAAAGCAACATGCCTAACTGTAGCTGGCAGAGGCAAACAATTGTGTGAGTATCTGTGTGTGTGTGTGAGATGTACTGGTGCATATGACCCAAGAGTCCAGAGGTAGATACTGGCTTCAAGAATGGTTACTTCAGGGTTTCCCTGGTGGCCCAGGAATTAAGTCTCAGTGCTATCCCCACAATAGCCTAGTTTGATCCCCAGCCAGAGAGCTAATCCACATGGCACAGCAGACCTCTTTTGTCTCGCCCCCTTTGCAGTGTATTTCAATAGATCTGCCTGTTTTGCTCCCCACTCTTGTCTCTGGTGAATCCTCTCACTCCCTGTACCTCTGACCTATACTCCAGCTCTATGCAAAAATAAATAAGTAAATAAATAAAGAAGCTACAACCTCTGACCTATACCCCAGTTCTATGCAAAGAAAAAGAAATATATATGTATATATAAATGCGACATAGGAGTTCTCATCAGCGGGATGCGGGCTTTCATTCTGGTTTCATTTCAGACCCCCATGGTATCTCCTGTAAGCTCTAGGCCCTCCCTCTTGGAGCCAGAATGACTGCCAGTGCTCTGCTCTTTACCCCTTCTTGGTGGCCAGTGTAGTGGGAAAGAGGGAGGGCCTTTTCCCTGTGAGTCAAACAAAGTGTTTAGGAGAGACTGAACCACAAGGTTGAGACTGATAAAAAGCTGGCCTCTCCCATGCAGAAGCAAGGTAAACATTCCCTTCAATAGGGCAGTGGATGCTCTGTGGGGAGAGTAAATATGCACAGTAATGCTGGGGTTTGTCCTGCATACTCTGTGTGTGTGTGTGTGTGTGTGTGGATATGTATTTGTATTAAGAATTTAATATATTTTTAAATTTATTTTGAGTATAAAAGTTATTCAAAGTTCAGCCAAAGAACAAGGTAGATTCGATTGGTAGCTCTTTCTGTTAACTTGTGTCTGTGCTTTGTTTTCTCCTTTCCTTTTCTGAATAGACCTGTCCTTTTAAAATGTGAAAACAACAAAACAAATTGTAGACATGCGGTCCAAAGGATCCTTGAGAATCCATATGGCATCAAATTCTAACCACCAGAAGCAATCATCTTAGACAAATTGCTAAGAATTAATTACAGTAAACTATAGATAATATATTTCTATATTCACATGAACTGGCCATGTGAATTTCTTTAGCATATTTCATATGTAGGATAAAGCAATCATGAAAACAAAATTAGATTCAACAGTATTTCTGATATAACAAACAAAATAAAAAAAATTAAAGCCATTACTTATTCATTGATTCAATGTGTACATTTCATTTAGTTTGTAATATAAATAGTAATTGAATGGTTATTATATAAAGTTTGCAAGATACTGAGTATGAAATAGTAAATATGATATTCTTCCTGCCTTTCTGGGTTATATAGTTTAGCCAGAAGATAAACATTAAATTTGAATATTGCAATAATTAATAATAGGAAATTTAAGATAACAAAGCACCTGGGTTATCAAAGCTGTGTGGTAGAGGAATTGGCATAGTTAGGGAAGATCCAAGAAAAAAAAAGAAAGACTGCTGGAGATTGACTTGTTAATAGTTGTCTTAGGTAGCAAAGGGGAAAAGATTGGTTTATGAAGAAAAAACTTTAAAGGCTCAGAAGCAAGAGAGCATGAAATGTTCAAGTAACTAAAGGAAGGGAAGCATAGGTGGATTTAATATGTTTTGTGAAATCAAAGACTTGGACTATTTTGTTTTTCTGCTACCAAGTAAAGTATTTTAATCTATCTTAGAGTATTTGAAGCTTATTCTTACTTTTCTACTTCTATTCATTTTCCTTTTAGTTATTTTATTTTATTTTATTATTTTTTAAAGATTTATTTATTTATACAAGCACTGGGTACAGTCAGAAGCGTGGGAGGGTGAGAGAATTCACCAGAGCCAGAGCGGGGAGCAGAGCATGCAGATGAAGTACACTGCTGAGGGGAGCAGTGGGCGGCAGGAGAGGTCTGTGCGCCACGTGGGACCCTTGCTGGCAGCCGGGAATCGAACCAGCGCTGCAGAGGCTGCGGGCAGCTTCACAGCCCAGCGCTCAACTGCTGCGCCACCAGGGGAGGCCCTATTCATTTTCCTTTTAAAAAACAGTTTAATTTTTTTCTTGCTTCTCTGAACTTTAATTTTTTTTAAATTTTAAAAGATTTATTTATGCATACAAGAGCTGGGGTACAGGCCAGAGATGTGGGGGGTGAGAGGATTCACCAGAGACAGAGTGGGGAGCAGAACAGGCAGACTGACTGAAATACACTGCTGAGGGGAGCAGTGGAATAGACAGGAGAGGTCTGCTGTGCCATGTGGGTTGCTCCCTGGCCCGCTGGGGATCGAACTCATGCTGCAGAGGCTGCAGATTGCTTCACAGTGGGGTGCTTAACCCCTTTCGCCACCAGGGAGGCCCCCGCTTCTCTGAACTTTTAAAACAAAATATCTGTGTTCGAAGTACAGATGACATCTGTAACTGAAAAAAATTGGGATTTTGTTTCTAGCAAGTATAAAATTTGTGTATAACAGGCCCTTGATCCACACAGACAAGAAGATAAAGCTGAGATCCTATAACATGTCAGGTCTTAAAGCTTTTCTCTACAACTCCTCTGAACTTGGAAAAATGGAGATTTGAATAAATTATGTCATCCTGTGCCAGTTATTCAAATATATGTGTAAATGAGGCTAAAGAGTTTTTAGAAATGTCACTATTATTTATATTTTCTTACATTGTTCATTTTTGTACAATATTTGATCTCATAATTCTCCCATCTCCACAGCACCCGTGAACATAGACCCTTGTGCTCTTACCTCTCCTGTTTTGACCCGTCTCCCTTCCTCTTTCTTCCCTGCTGTATTCCTCAGATCTGTGGTTTGCCTGCAGGTTTTGAAATGGCAGTATTTATTCTTAAACTTAGATTAGGTAGTATTTGTTGGAAAAATAGTACTATATGTATCCAGTTGAAAAGTTTTCAAATGTAACTATGAATAATAATAAGATTCAGGAACTAACATGAATTGCTGGATCTTGATCTCAAATTTAGGAGAGGCACTATTTTCAAAGGTAAGAATGTAAAACAGTATTTAATTTTAGGATTTAATTTTGGGTGTAGCCTTCTAGTTAAGTATAAATTGAGAATAGCTCAATGAATTAGTTTTGTTCATTTGTTAGTAAAAATACACAAATATACAGGCAAGAGCACTGAACAATGGTACAAATAATTAGAAACAAATTAAGAAACAGTTCTTTAAAAATCAATTTTCTTTCATTCTAACAGATTCAGGGCACTAAACATTCTTCACAAATTCCTCATAAATTAACTAGTAATCCCTTCGTAAAGTTAATTAATCTTCTGTAGCAAATTCCTCCAATGACATGAAAAGTCATTATCATTATACATGATTAGCAATGTGATCAGTCACCTAGGGAGGTGAAGTTTAAGGAAAGTAATTATTTGAAGAAAGTCAACCATTGTTAAATTAGGAATTTCTCTCATTATTCAGATCTGATTAACATGAAATATAAATCACAAATGTGACACTGATTCAACAGACCAATGACTATATTCACTTACTTGTATTCCTAATGTTTCTTAGCTTTCAGAAATTTTAATTCCCAATGTGAATTATACTGAGATAATATTATTCTGCAGTTGTTAAGTTTGTTAAAAATGGTAAAAAGTAATAGCAATAAAATGACTAAAACCAAAGCACTACCCTGGGAAAAAAGTTAAGATCTGTTTACCATTTCAAAATAGAAAATCATTCAAACGAGTTCATGTAAGAAATAACCCTGAGGATGATGGTGCTTCATTTGGTTGTAAAGTGACATTTAACTTTTCAACAGACTCAGTGCCAACTTGGGTTGTCTTGGGATATCATCTATTCACAGGGGAAAAACTGGTTCTGGAAAATGAGTTCTATAAGACTTTCTGTAAGATTGATTTAATTTACTGGAAAATCATCGTGATGGGGTTGTCGGAGTTTGGAGTGTGGGGTCCTTGGGTTTACTCTGGGAAAGGTTTCACCAGATCTCCCGTTTCAGCAGCATGTGGCAATTTTCCCAGGCGAGTTTCTCCACGAGACAAAGACGGTAATTATAATTTAAAGAGCAGGTTTATTAGAGAAGGGATAGGACAGTTAAAGACACTTGCATAGACACCAGCAGGCAGGAAGAGCTGCCTGGAAAGTGACAGTCTTTGCTGAGAAAGGCCTGCATGGTTGCAGACGGCGGCCTTGAGGATCGTGGCCTCCACTGAGGGAGGTCAGTGAAGAGAAGTCCTGGCATGGTACAGGTCATGGGCAGCCAGAAAGCTGCTGCCCTCCAGAGGAAGAGAGTTGTTGAAAAGAGGCACCTGAATAGTCACAGGTGGGCAGATGGACTGCTGCCCCAGCCTGTGCAGAGACTGCACGGATACAGTCTTTCTTCC